ATGTTCCTTCAGTGTGGGAGGCTGCAACTAAGTCTGAAAAGCCTCTGCTGTGTCTTCAAACTCCATGGGAATTGTGCATGTCATATCAGAGCCTATGCAACTTTGTTTCAATTTAATAAATCTTTTCCTTGGAAGTTGGGCATCCTGGTACACACCTGTGATCCCAGCAACTTGGGAAGGTGAGGCAGGAGGATCGCTAGTTCAAGGACAGCCTGGACAACTTAGTGAGACTGTCTCAAAATAAAATTAAAAGGGGCTGTGACTGTAGCTCGGTAGCATAGTGCCCCTAGCTTCCAGCCCCAGCATTGAAAAAAAAAAGGTTCCCTCAGGTCTTGCAAAACTGTCACTTGAGAGCGAGATGACTGAGATGATCGCAGCTCTGCACACACCCAGACGACCTCCGCACGCGGTGCCTCCGTTGCCGAGTGCACATTCACCTGGACGCCTCACTGAGCAGGCCAGGAAACAAGGGCCACACTCAAGGGGACCTTGGATAAGTCAAATCCTAGTGCCAGGGACAACGCACACCAAGACTCAGCTCCTGGTCTGAGTGAGCTCAAGGTCTCTCGGACAGAAAGTCAAAGGCCGTGCTTGAGGCCCAGTCCAGGCTGTTCCTAGTCCTGTTCCCTCTCTGTCACTCCTCATAGTCCCTAAAAGGCCCCTGTCTACACTGCTCATGGAGAGTGTTCAGTGGAGCAGGCAGGCAACCCCCCAGGTGGTCACTGATGAAACATTCCCACCATACTGATGGCATGTTGACTGACAGGTGGCCAGCTCAGCACCCTCAGGACACAGCTAGATGCAGACCTTACAAAGTCCATGTTGAAGGGGGGGCATTTCTCTAACAAGGCTTCACTTGATTCTTCCCTTGTCGCTTTGAAATTCACGTTTTTTTCTTTTTTTCCAACCTTCTCCCTGATCTTCTCCCTGATCTCTCCTCCCTAACCTCATTTTCTTTGAATCACCTCTTTAAAAGCCCCCTGTTCCTGCTGATGGGCAGAATCACAGCCTTTGGGACAGGAGTCCCCGGTGCTTCTCTTTTGCTAGCAAAACAATAAACTGTCTTTTTCCTTTTTCTCAAAACTTGTCCTTGTCATTGGATTGGCATCAGGGACAAGGACCGAGCTTTCAGCAACATTTTCTCTGGGGAGCAAGCCTGACTGGAGCTGCTGCTGATCTGACTGTGGAGAGACAAGCAATCGTTCAGCCATTTGAGAAGATGGCGGGAGTCAGAGGAAGCCCTAACGCAGCGAAACCTGGAACCAACATAAAAAATAATAATAATAAAAAACTGGGCAAACTCTCTATGATCCTTTCTCCCAGTCACCTGTAAAAGTTCACTCCTTTTAGTCTTCTAGAAATGGGGGTCAAATTAGTGTTTTAGTGATCCCGTGAAACTTTCATCAGACCATTCGGTCTTGGTAACTTCTTAAGTTTTCCTCTGATTTGAGGGATTGAGATGGAAAAAAATCTCTGCACATTTTGAAGCTAAAGGAAACTTCTTCAGCCTGAAAGAAGATCCAGCGAGACTGGGGAAAGGCAAGAACGAGCCCAGGAAGTATGTGCAATTGTTTCACCACAGAGCAAAGTCATGGCGACTCTAGGACCTAGTTAACCTTTGTGGTCCTCAGTTTCAAATCAAATTAGAGAAAATTCGGTGTGGATGGCGAAAGGATGAATGAGACACTTTCTGTAAAGTTCATACCACAGCAGGCTGAATAAAGTGCTGCTTTTTGAGGTGCATACGTGGCAAGGTTAAAAACTCAATGCAGTGAGCCACACTTGGAAAGAATAACACAGAAAAGTTGTTGTTGTTTCCTGTATTTACTACTCTAGAGTGTGGAAGAGGCCCTCGACACATTATCCAGTTCTGCTGACCTCTCAGACTGACTCCCTCCCCTCCATCCCCCTTCCCCAGGTCTGCAGAGGGACCCTCTAACTACCTCATGTACAAGGTGATTCAGTTCTTGGGCCCCTTTACTTCCTGCTGGGACAGCCCACATCCTTCCTAGGGTCGCAGTGAAACTCTAGCCTCGCCCAACCTCCAAGTCCCTTCCTTACCAGGCCAGATCCCTCCATCTCCATCTCTTTCTGATTCCCATTCCAGCCTCCCGGAAACCAAGTGCTGTCTCCCTCACCCCCAATCTTGTACTGCCCAGGTGACCTACAGAAATGCTACCCAGCACTAATCTTGCTTATCTCCCAGGACAAGGATGCCTGAGGCCAGAAATTCCTCTTCCTGCAGGCTCTCGAAATGGTTTGGTTGGATCTAAGATAGCGGCCAGAGTGACCCCAGGCAACCGCAACCTTCATTAGAACCCAAACTGCAGGCCCAAGGACCACCCCTCCCACCAGGGCCATAACTGTTGACAATGGCCAGGAGGAGAACCAGAAAGAAAGGAGCAAAAAGGAGTGGTGCTCAACCTCCTGGAAAATCTCCACCCATTCCCAGAAAAGACAGAAATATCCTCCCCTTCCCCGGCCCCCCACCCCTTCCACCCCTTCTGTAGCCTCCATCTCCCCGGGGAGGGTAAGTGATTCGCAAGTCTCTCTCCCATTTCTCCTATTCTGACCAAGGATAAAAGTCCCCTGTGCTGCTCGCTGGGAGCTTGGTCTTGTTAGTGGTTCCACAATCCTGAGGGAAAAGAACTAGTTAAGGGGCAAAAACATTGGTAACATAAGCACATTAGGATGAGTGTCCCCCACTCCCAGATGTAACTTAGGGTTTACTCTAGGAAATATTTCTGGAATCCCTGACTTGACGTCTGGTGGGTGTGTGGGTGGGTGTGGGGGGTCAGGTAGTCCCCTTTCAGTGTCCCCACAATGCTCTGTGTACACACCTGATCTCAGGGTGTTCAAATGACCTATTTAGGTTGCTACCCTGCCCTCCTCCAAGGCATGGCTGGCATCAGATTCATTCTTGCACCCCTAGTGCGAGGTAATTGATAGCCTGAACACAAGAATTTGGCCAAAAATGCTCCAATAGGGTTCTGGATGCTCTAATAGGGTTCTGTGTGAGAAGATAGAATAAAAGACTCATCTCACTCCTGTCAATCTTTAAGGTCTGGAAGGAAGGGAGATGGGAAGACACAGGAGTTATGGAACCCAAGTGTCCCCCAAGGAAGAACAACTAAGGCCCTAGCTGAAGGGGGCGGAGCAGGTGGCCCAGGAAGGCCATCAAGGTGGCCCCTCATAGGGGAAGCAACAGAGAAGGGAGGCTTCAAAGGATGGGGTTGGGTGGTGGGAAGCAAGTTCATGGCTGGGGATGAGATAGGAACTTGGGGATACAGAAAGGAAATTCTCTCAAAGGAAAAGTATCCATAAGCCATTGGAACACAGGCAACACTATGAACTGATGGAGAACAAAAGAAGCAACTGGTGAGCAATTCAGTCCTCATCCTTGGCCCACGTCTTCGCCTGCAAAAGTGACCCAATGTGGGGCAATGGGCCAGCACACAGGGAGACCAGGGTGAACTGTGTAACCCTATCCCGACTCCACCTCCAGCTCGGCCCTAGCTACTGCGGAGCTACCGTCCTCCATAAATATTAACACCCCAAAGCAAGGTTTGCTGCTTCGGGCTCTCGAGATGACCCGCATTCTCCCTTGCCTGTCTCTGCTTTCCTAATCGAGTCTCTGCCTGTGCCTCTGACACATCCTTAATTTCTGCCACGACTTTGGTGGAGAACCCACAGGTCCTGAATGGAGGTTCCTCCAGGAACTCCCCGCCTCCTTCTCTAGCAGGAATGAGACTCCCGGCAAGAAGTGGGAGGAGGACCTTAGTAGATTAGCTGTTAATCATCTGTGAATCAAGGTTAAGCGAATTCTCCCTGAGGGAGAAGGAGAAGGCTGCAGACCAACCCCACCAGGCAGGGGGAAGGGTCCTGGGTGGAGCCCTGTCAGGCCACCCAGTCACACCCAGCTCCCAGTTGTCACTCTGGTTACGAGAAACCCTGGTTCTGAGAGCATTCTCCATGCAGATTTACCAGAAGCCCCACATATTTCAATACTGCATCGTTCCACGTGTGCCTTTCACTCAGTGTATGATTTTCCAAGTTCTCTTAAAGTATTTGTGAATTTAAATTAATAAATTGCCATTTTGGTGGGGACACCCCTCCTCCCCCATCTTTGTCAGAAAATGAGTCCTCAGAAGGTTTACAGGGCCGGGGCTGGGGCTCAGTGGTACAGCACTTGCCTAGCATATGTGAGGCACTGGCTTAGATCCCTGCCATGACATAAAAATAAAAACAAATAAAATAAAGGTACTGTGTCCACCTACAACTGAAAAAAAAAAATAAAATAAAAGGAGACAAGAAATCGAGGAGCAGACCAACAGGACTTCAGAGAACAGGAGTTGCATGTGCAAATTCCCTCAGGCAGTGGTTCCCAGTGGTGGGCAATTCTGTCCCTTCAGGCAATAACTGGAAATTTCTGGAACATGTTGTTAGGCCTAGGGCTAGGGGGACTATTATGGCATCTAATGGGATTGGCCACGGATGCTGCTCAGCAGCCTAGCCCACGCAGGACAGCCCCTCAACCGAGAATTCTTTGGCCCCAAACCTCGATAGTAATGAGATTGAGAAGTCTTGCCCTGGGAGAGCCTGGCTGAGAGACCACACGGGCCACCTGACCACCCGACTTCTTGCACCCCAGTTTTCTCCAGGCTACAGTGCCATGTGTGTTCAGGGCCAGCTGCTCTGTTTTGTGCTAAAAACAGTACAATTAAGAACCCTGTGCCATCAGTAAGAACCACTGCAGTAATTAAGATAAACCTGTCAAGAAATAATTATCATATACTATAGTCCTGCATCTAGAAAGAGTTCCTGTTTTTTGAAGGCTGAATAGAGAGAAAATATCAGAGAAACAGACAGACGGTGGAAGGGTGGCTAGACAAGGTGTCCACATATTCCAGGACGGAAGTGGCTCATCTTGTCTCCTTTCGGCCCACCTTCCCCCACGGTGGAAAAGGGAGGACAGAGAGGGGATGGGCTAGGTGACTTACGAGTAGGATCCAGGGTAAAATTTCAGATGACCGCATTGACTGTATGCTTCTGGCTACAGCATCCCGGGAAGAAGATGTGCTTGGTGCTTTAAAATTTCATCAGCCTTGGTTAACCTCTGCCCACAGAGAATTGACTGCTCAGGAGGAGCCCATAGAGATGGGAGACAGAGCAAATCTCACTGCTGGATCAATCCATTTCTCCCATTCTCATTTCCAACTCTGTCCAAGATGAGCCCTGGCAGTATCTTTCCAGATCTGCCTTTAAACTTAACAGTGATGAAATTCGACAAAAGGTTGAAAGAAAACCTTGGATTCCATCCAGCCACAGCCTCGGGAACCAGGAAGAGCAGCCCTGGGAGTACCCTTAAGTGCTGCCGCTCAGGGAGCTTCAACCTTGGCTAAACCCTGGGCTGAGCACAGCTTGGATTCAGATGTTTTAACCACAGGGTCCTCCCCTGCTCCCATCTCAGGTCTTTGACTAAAACACAATAGACCACATTCCCTGGAAATGATGGCAGCACATCTTATCAGCACTGCTGAGTTTTCCTCCAGTTTCTATAATACTTCTCTCTTGCAGTATTTCTGCAGCTCTTACAAACTAGGATGGAAGCATGCAAGGGGAAGGTCTCTGTGGTCCAGCTTTGTTCATTATTTAAAGGAAAATCTCCTGCACATCTGCTCTGTACTGGGTTGAGCACCAGGCACTGGGAATCCTGAAGAATTTGCCACAGCAACACAGGCATACTTGGGGGTTTCAAAGCCAGGCTCTGGAAAGCAAGAAACTGGGTTCAAATCTCAGCTCTGCTACAATCCTAGTTGAGTCAGCCTTTTATTTTTTTTAACCCGGATTGAACCCAATGGTACTTACCTATTGAGCTACATCCCCAGCTTTTTAAAAATATTTATTTATTTAAAGACAGGGTCTCACTGAGTTGCTTTAGGACCTTGCTAAGTTGCTGAGGCTGATTTTGAACTTGTGATCCTCCTGCCTCGGCCTACTGAGCCTCTGGGATTACAGACATGTGCCACCACGCCTGGAAGTCTTGCTAATCTCTACTTGCTTTCTTTTTTTTCTTTTTTTTTTTTTTAATATTTATTTATTTTTTTAGTTTTCAGTGGACACAACATCTTTGTTTGTATGTGGTGCTGAGGATCGAACCCGGGCCGCACGCATGCCAGGCGAGCGTGCTACCGCTTGAGCCACATCCCCATCCCTCTACTTGCTTTCTCTGTAAGGGGAAAGTGATAACAGTTTTGACGTGCTAGTGTGTTTATGAGGATACCATGAATTAATAAACAGACTGACATGCAGGGAGCACTCAATGTGGATGGCATTTTCACATATCCTATGGGCCAGACACCTCACTGTCTGCAAATTGCCTGTCATCCCCCATACTGAGGAACCCTCTCCTGCAAGCATTTTAGTGTCAGCTTCAAACTACCATAAAATCCAAAATGCACTCTCCTCTTACAGACTCCACAGGGGAAGGACCTTGAAGTAGCTCCTCGGTCTTACCCAAGAGAGCAGAGACAAGAAGTGACAGGGATCAGCTTCATGCTGGAGGGACAAGATGATCTCTCCTGAGACTGAAATCACAAAGAAAATGCTGCATTCTTTCTCCCCAGACCAGCCAAACACAGGGGCAGGTCTTCCAAATGAACTCTGTCTTGCTGCCCATGTGATTTCCAGACTAAGGTAGAAATGAAGTGGGGCAAACTGTTCTACCAGGAGGAGCTTTGCAACGTGAATAGGAAGGGAAGACCACAGCACAGCTGTCGAAATGGCTTCTCCGCCTGGCCTGGGTGACCCGCTATTTCTACATGTCAGGGGGCAAAAACCCCTTATTCCTATTGGAACAAGACATGGACTTGGAATGAGTTGTGGGGAATAAGCTTCACAGGAAATGAGGATTCATGACGTCAGTGGGCATACAATTTTGATGAAGGCAGCTTCTCTTTTTAAAAGCATGCTACATTTTATGTCTACCTGGGGGGAGCTTATAGTCCCTGGGAAATGTAGGAGCAACTCAAAACAAGAGGAAAGCTCCAGATGATCTCGCTTAGCTTGTTCTTTTGGAAAGAGAATACCCAAGCCTTTCATACCAGGGCCGGAAATCCTGCTTCTTCCCATTTTGTTAATTAACAAATGTTTCCCAGCCTTACACTCAACCAACAAGGGGGAAAAAAGTAAAATAGACAACAATCAATGACTAATCACACACTCTTCCCTATCTAGCATGATCTATGTATAAAATTGTTCAATGAAACTATGTTCAGTGTCATTAGCTGACAAATGCGTCTGTGGAACGTAAGGGTCCCCTGGAGTTGCCACGTTGCCTCCCTGCTAGTTCCTAAGCTTCTTAGAGGAGAACTACTTTCCTGCTTATTGCTATGTCACAACATACAGTGCCTGTGACGTCACACTCAACACTATTTGTTGAATGGATGGATAATGGATGGGTGGTCTGCCTGTGTGGGTGAATGAATGAATGAATGAAGGGTGACTGGAAGCTGTGACTTGGAGTCAAAGACAGAAGTAGAGCAAAACAGATTGGAGCAACAAAGTGATGACGGAAGGAAAACAGGTAGGCCATCTTGGTGGAGCAAGAGTACGTTCTGGAAAAGGCAGGTTAGAAAGATGGCTCCATGATGATGTTCGACAGACATTGCTCTGAGGACATTTCTTCTAATCCTATCATTAGAAGAAAACAGGAGTCAGCCAGTCACAGGCTGTCCCTTCAACGCCCACTGGAGGGGTGAAGGCTCTGGCATTGAAAGTGCCTGCTCTGCTCACCTGACCCATAGAGATACACAATAAGCACTTGTGCAGAGGGGTCCTCTTCCCTCGGCCTTGGCAGTGTTGCTGCCCCTCACAAGCACACACAGGAAGCCAGATTTCTGGGTTCTGATGCGAGCTTTCTAACTCATTCTGTCATAGACAGAGGCTGCTGTACTAAAGCTGCCCAGGTTCTGTTAATGTTGCACAAGCGCTGACATGTTTCTCCAACAGGGTACCAAAACCCACTCAGAAACGTGAATGCCACCTGTTTCCATGCCACCACCCTCCTTCCAGAATATGGCAGGTAGGACAAATTGCACTGTCCACCAAATGGCCATCAGAGCACCCATGACTTTAAGCAATAGCAGTGGTAGGAATTATTAGGAGGATGTCTTATTAGGGTACATTTGAGGTTCCCTCTTCTCAAATTTTTTTCTTACATATTTAAATTTTGACTTAAGTCTAACCTTTTAAGTTTTGAGCTCCAGCTAAAACATTAATGGATTACGAAGGATTCTGCACACAAGGTAGCGCTAGCACACCTGGAATCCGGTATGATCCACCTGTAGGCAACTTGGGAGGCCGAGGCAGAAGGATCTCAAGTTCACAGGCAGACTAGGCAACTTATTGAAACCCAGACTCAAAATACAAATTAAAAGGGGCTGGGGATGTAGCTCAGTGGTAGAGAGCCCTGGGTTCAAACCCCTGTACTAGGGGAGCAGGGCTGGGGTGGGGTGGAAGGGGTGGGGATAAGGACTCCGTCTTGAAGTCAGTCTTTCTTTTAAGTCCTTCTTGAACTGATTTTTTTTTTTTAAATTCTGTTCCTGAATCTGTATCTGCTTCTATTCTTTCAGCCAGCACAGAGCATACCTGCTTGGTTTCTCCACTGAAGACTGACTTCTGCTTGGACCAGGAAGCTTGCTAGATCCATGATCCATTCTTTATCACCCATCTCTGCTTTCTGGGGCATCCTGGGCAAGAATTCCTCCACCTGGTGAACTTCAAGGACTAGCTGCATGCCACTTCCTCCTCTCCAGCTGGGTGCTCTCCTGCACTGTACCACCCTGTTAAGGTGGATTTTAAACTTGAGAGCAGACCTTCTAGCCTGAAAATGGACCTAGAAGATGCACATTTCCCCTGTGACTAAGATATACCTTCTACTTGTCTCACTAGTTTCACAACAACCGAGTCAGATTCTTGCAGATGGTGAAAACCAAGGCAATGACTGCCTCGCTTCAGTTGTTAACTCAGCGTCACCTCCATTCAGCCTCTTCCAGAGAGCCCCGAATTCACATCCGCTGCAGCATTACCTTCCCCAGCTCAAGACGGCTAATTATTTTAACCTCTCTCTGAATATCACAAAGTGGTTTTCATTTTCTTGTTTGGGGCTATGCTTCCATAGGGTTCTTACTATTCGTTGAATTCCATACCACTAGGCTTTTTGAAATGCCTGCTCTGGAAACTCAAGAGAGCTCACAAAGCAGACTTTGACTTATACACTGTCAATTTGCTTTGGAAGGTCATGTGGGAACTCTACATCCTTTAGGTCCATTTTCAGGCTAGAAAAACAGTGACTTGGCATAAATTCCTTCCAGAACAAGCACTGAAAACCTACCATCCCACCGTCTCTCTATGTGAACTGACATGTGCTTTTCAAAATGAGGGTCGTATTCTTTTGACAATACTTATCTGGGCTGTGCCCTTTAAATCTTCCCTTGTCTTTCCTTTCAGTTCTAGCTTTGTACCTGCTATTTATTTAGCCCCAAGATTCTTGGATGACTTCTGAATCTGAAATGCTCGGGATCTCTCTCGCGCTGTAGTCACTTTTATAAGACATAGATAATAGCATGTTTAGATGAGCCTCTCTGAAAACAGAGCCTCATTAAAACCGCCCCTTCTTCCTGCTCCCACCTGGCAGGGTTACTCAGGATTCTAAGCAATGTTTTAGGCTTCCTTTGGTGAAGGTGGGGATCGAACTAAGCAAACTTCACAGATCTCATTACAAATAATTTTAGGAATCCAGTATGGAGTTGGTAATGTAATTTTGGTAATTTAGGCTGCCCATCAAAAGCATAGGGTCTTTTATTATTAAATATTTCCTCGTGGACTGAAAAAAAGCATCAGTTTAAGCAGCATTTGTTAATAGGTCCATTTGGATTATGTCTTTCTAAGAGATGTGTTATTTGATTCTAATTATATTTAATTTGCTAAAAAAGTAGATAATAATTTTCTTTTTTTTTTTCTGAAAAATCAGTCTTTCTCCCCAAACAGAACATGAAGACAATTCTGTAGTTTTAACTTGGGACTTGTGATATTTTGGCCCTATTCTCCTGGCACACCTACACATATATACATACACACACACACACACACACTCACAAACTTCCTTCCCTCTCTTGACTTTTTTTTTTCCTCAGCTGAAGATGGTTAACTAATAAGCACAGATGGGTTAATCCTACAGTTTTGGAACAGAAAGTCCATCAACCTTCACTTTTAACAAGGGTGAACAGGCTTGGTAACCCACCTAAGGGCAATGCACAAACAAAACATGGAAAATTCTGCTGGTTGTTACCATTTGTTCCCCCCAGGTCCAAAC